GTGTGGGGTGGTGTGTGGGGGGGGGGGGGGGGGGGGTGGAGGGAACTGTGTGAGCTGCAGAATCTCCTCTTGTCCTGTGTGCACGCACCCACAAAAAGGCCTTCCACAATATCCAAGAGCACTACACTTCATAGGCAGGAATATTGTCCTGGGCTAATGATCTCCTACAGAGGTGGAAATACCCAGGTGAAAACAAGGCATGAACGGAAAGGAATTGTCAAGGCCAAACAAGAATGATCATTAAAGCCCAGGGCTTTTTTTCCTTTATCAACAATTCTACAAATGGTTAAAGTGCAGCAAAGTCATAAGCAACTGGAAACAGGTTTGTAATGGAAATGGCAACCTTAATACACAGTGCTGCCTGTTTGCCTATAGTATGCCACCTGCTGTCTGTGTGTCTTCTTTTTTCATCTGTGTTTATTAATAAACTAATATTTAATCTTCACATTATACATAAAATAGTTGAGATCAGGGTGGGAAACTTCAGGCCTGGGAGGACGGATACGGCCCCTGACTTGCCTGGATCCGGCCCCCAAGGGTCAAGGCTCCCTTCCAGCACTGGGGAGCCTGCGCTGGCACTCCAGCCCACCTCCACCCCACTGTGGGGCTGGAGCACACAAACTCTACTAGCCTAGGCCCCCTAGGCTCTGGTGTGCAAGGGGAAGGTGGGGAGTGCCTTTCTCTTTCTCAGCTGGGGGCCACAACAGTGACGGCTGGTTTTTGGGTTTTTTTGTTTCTCACTTGTGTGCGGCCCCGACTGATTTTTTTCTGTGGGTCAGCAGCCCCCAACCCAAGAAAGTTTCCCCACCCTTGGTTTAGATACTCATCTTGTTCTCATTAAAGTCAATGGTAAAAGTCCCAATGACTTCAATGGGAACTGTGTTGGTCTCTTAATCAGTGCGCTAGGTTACGGGCGTCACAGCAATTCACTTTGGCTGCACAGTATGTAATGCATTTTCTTTAACTTTCAAACAGGTTGAATGTAATTTTTACAAAATTTGATGAGGTCCAAAAATCTGGAAACATGATCCAGGGAGCAGGTGGTAAGTAGAATACTGTTATTGTCTCAGTTTTTTGTGAACTATCAGCGTTGTGGAAATTCATAAAATAAGTTGTGTACTCGTTCCAAAACATTCTATTTTTTTCTGTACTTCTGGGAAGGGTGACGGTTAGTTCACATGCCTCGTTGTGTGATGGAGTGGGGTAAAACACTAGGCTGTATGTGCGTTTCTTTAGAATGGAGGGGAATCTGAAGTTTCTTCACCATAAAGGATGCTTTTTGTTCTTCTGAAGAACATAATTGAGAACTAGTGTTTTTGTCTAGATCTAGATGTGGGAAGGAAGAATTAACGCCTTTATCAACTATTGCAGTGTTCACCAATTGACTATATATTTACTTCAATCCATTGAATGACCAGGACAACGAATTGGACTGAATTCACTCCTAATCTAACTTCATTGATGTCAGTGAAGTTAGACAAAAGATGAATGTGGCTCATTATGTCTTAATGAGAGCTGCTATAATGGACTCGGATGTATCTAACATAGGTTCTCCTTAAAAGGCATTCAACTAGTTACGTCGTAGTACTGCTGTTGCTTATTGGAATTTCATGGGACATACTTGTGCATGATGGTGTTGTGATATCTTATTACCACACTGTGCCTAGATAGGCCCACTGCACTGAAATGGTGTGAAATAGTGGTAGTTCATTTTCATTGGAAGTTTGCTTAGTAACTTATTAACAGGCCACAAATTAAATTTGCAAGTGGATTATCTGAACAATCTGAGGGCAGTCCTGGAGGAAAGTCAAATAGTCATTGCTAGGACACTCGTTTGTATCCAAGGAATGAATCACCATTAAGAATGTTTTGTTGGACAGTAGAAAAATTGAGTAGTTTCAGATTTCAAACATAAGATTTTAGGTGTATAATTATTTTACCTTGGATATAACTCAGAAGGGTATCTGCTCCTTAACCTGCTCAACCCCAGGACAGTCTTTGCCATCTCAGCACTTTCTGTGGTCTCAGAGGTGTCTCAGGAGCTGTTGCTACAGGCCCTAGAACTGTGAAAATATCCTGAAGTAGATAAATGGAAGAAGAGTGATGGGCCTTTTCTAAACAGGCGTTCTTGGCTTATTGAACTTCAGCTTGTCCTGATTCACGGAACATAGACAGCATATTGTTGTCTTGATTATTTTTTCAAAATCACTTTAAATATGTTTGCTGTTCTTAAATGGAAGTGTAATTACTCATAGGTATAAGCTAAATGCCTGTGAGTGTGCGTGAGCATGTGGTGAGTGGACTGACAAGAAAGTTCTCAGGTGTTTCAATTTCCCTTGGTGATGTAGGCAGATTCATGCCCCCCTTCCTAACTACTGCTCCCCCCAGTCATTCCCAGCCCTTTCTCTAGCCAATGTATGAGGAAACTTTGTGCAGGGAACCTTTACGTTCAGGGGATGCCCTTCAGTGCTGGTGTTTAGAAAGTAAATGTGACTTGTCACCAAGGTGGATGACACGTGTTTCATCGTGGCCTAAAGACAAACTTGCTGTCTACTGAGATTATGCTTTTTTCCCCTGCTTTGAAAACAAAGAAGATCCAGTCCAACGTCTGTCGTAGTTTACAGGAAAGGCCATAAATAACGTACACCTCAAAGCTTAGCTTTTCACAGGAGCCCACCTCCTAAATCCGGTAATTACTTTCGGAGTTTGACACAGGGCACTGCCTGTTGCCAGGGTCTCTCCCTTGTTATCAGAAGCACTGCTCCTTTGAGGTCATGCCTGCACTGTGCTTTTCCTGTTGCAGTAGCGGGAAAGTGGGAGAGTGGGGCAGATGCCATCAGCTGGAATGTGGTATTATCTGAGCAGGATAGGTAACATGGTGGAGTTGGTGCAGATCCATCAATACTAGAGTTAGCCCAGACCCATGCTCATCTGCACTGGTATTAACCCTCCAAGAACCTGCAGCTGTGTCATGGTGGAAAAGCTCCACGTAGACAAAGCCTCAGACTTTTTCTACACTAGTGTTTTTCACTCTGTGTTTTGTAGGCCCTCTGGGGCTCTGCAGACTAAGATTTTTCAAAGGGCTTCACACCTTTATTTGAAATTTTTGAGGGTCCTTCAAATAAAAAAAATGTTGAAAACCACTGTTTTCTACAGAGACCTCTCAATAGGAGTAATTGCCATTTTTGAAGACAGTAAGTCCCTGTCTCCACTATAGAAATCATGTTTAATTGAGGTGCCCAAAGCATGTTATAACAAGGTTTATGCTGGTGTCTCTAGACAGAAAATTCCTGTGATGATCATGTTCGAAAACCACCGATGAAATTCTGGCAGCACTAAAGTCAGTGGCAGAATTCCTATGGTTTTTAATGGGGCCAGGATTTCACCTCCTATTTTAGCCTTTCTCTTGTCCAGTCTTAGAGCACGGCTCTTTAGCATGGTTATAAGACGGGAAAGAACAAATGCAGTTACACTGTGTCCACACATGCTAGAACCCTGAGGCCTTCTTTGGTGGGTGGGTAGTTGTAGCGTACTGTTGGTGAACAGGGTGGTTCGTAACAGAGTCCTGGCCACGGAGAAGCACTCTCCTGTGCTAATTATAACAGGGTTCCAGAATGGTTGTCAAACCTGCCTTTGATATGTGGGAGAATTAAGTAGGCAGAAAGGAAATAATTGTGATATGTGTGATTTGTGCTAGGAGAATCAGACATAAGTGATGAGTGCTAGGAGAATCGGACAATGAAAACCTATACAGAGTAAACCTCGCCATTCATGGTAGATGCATTCCTAGCAGCACTGTGAATTGGCAAAATCCATGAATACTGAGGATGCAGCTGCTTATGTAACCCACACACCTAGTGTGGTTCGCTGTCCCATGTAGTGGCACTTAGACCACTTACAGGATCAGCTCCTGAACTTGCTGGGAGCCATGGGGAGCTTGCTGAAGGGGGCAGGGAGCTGTGGCTCCCAGCCACCACGGTGTGTGGCGGTGGGTTTGGGGGGAGCCCTGACCGCTGCTGCCCTTCTGCAACAGGCCTGCCCCCCTCCCCAGCCTATATCCTCTCCCCCGCCCCCGCCAGACCAGAGTGTGGAGTGCTATAGGAGCAACAGTTTTTGATCTGAGCAGTGAGATATTCAGTTTACTAGTAACACTCATCAAAGTAACGGGATATATTCTGCTACCGGTGATGCTGATATAAATCTTGAGTAACACTACAGAAGCCAGTGGATTTATGCCAGTGTATCCGTGATCAGAATTTGAGTCATTTTATATTTTTCCAAATAAACAATCCCAGCGTTGTTTTTTACATTTTTGTTTATCATAATTGTCTCAGATTGATGTTAAAACACTTCATAATGTTTCTTATGAATCTGGACTTTGATTTAAGGCTTAATAATATTAATAAAACAACAGTTTTGTTGGGGGAAGGAGCATAAGACCGAATAGTAATTTGAAGCAGGATTTATTTATATATATATATACATATATATATAAAAAAATCAAACAGAGGGCAGGATTTCATCTTTGTAAGTATGCTGCTTTCTGAGTGTGTTGCTAGGTTACCAGAAGGCCTTACAGCCAGAAAATGGAGCTAAGGTGCATGTTGCATTTTTCGATGATTCTTGGTGTCTCTGTTTTGGTTTTTTTACATATAATTAGTCAACCTCTTGAGGCAAAAATTACAGTTTTTCTCTCTTTGGCTTTCAACAGCCTAATTATTTTTGTTTAACTGCTTTTGCTAATTATGCAGATGTGCTTTTATCCCTGGGCGACATAGATTTTCAGCATGAAAGAGTCAATAATTGCAGGTCTAGTCAGTTGCTGTCTTCATATGGCATCACATGATGGTCTTTAATTGGATGTGGTATGGAGAGGGGGCCTTGTACATAAATGTAGATTTAATTTACTCCAAGCTGTTCTGCTTTTCCTGGATTTAGGCCTAGAAGGGCTAGAATCAAGCTTGTTGCAATTGGTATTTTTTTCCCTTTGACTGCAATAGGCTTTGGATCAATCCCTATCTACAGAGACTTCTGAATTCAAGTATCAGAAAGGACCAGGTTAAGCAGGTGGTTAAGCAGTGACTAAAGGTAGATGATCTAAAGGTACAATGTGGTCAATGTCTCTTATTCAGAAAAGGAATGACAATCATTTTATAAATAAACAAAAGTGTTTTTTTTATAAAGTCCCACTGGTCTTTGCAACATTCCAATCTGCTATTGTGTGCCATGAAACATTGTTTTATATTTCAATGCTATGGGCCAAATCTTGAAGTTATACGCAGGAGCAGATTGTTCCACACTGGTCTGTGTGAACCCTTTTCCTTGCATAACTGGGGGTGTGTGCGCGTCCCCTCCCATGTCCACAGATGTTCTCTTCTCCAGCGGGATCTCTGCTTGGACGGAGCACCTCATGGAGCATGGCTGAGGGACGGATAGGAAATGAGACGGGTGATGCTGCTGTCTGTGGAAGTCCAGGGGGAAGGTCTGACAGCTGGGAGCCCTGAGCAGCCAGTGTCCGTGGGCTGCTGCCAGCAGAAGGGGGGCTAGTGGAGAAGCACCCCATTTCAACAGGATGGCTCCTGTCTCTCTGCAGAATGGGGGGGATCCCTCTCAGTCAATCAGTGGGGCCTACAGAAGGATCCCACCTTTCCGACCCTTTGCCAACGGAGAGCATACAAGGACATTTTTATGATTTTTCTACAGTTTGCCATAGGAGGAGGTCGGGGGTCAGCCTGAATCTTGCTCCTTACACATGGATTTTGAGGGGCATGATATCTTTTATTAATGCTTTTAAAAACCTTGAGGATTTAGGTTCATGCTTTGGCGACCTGAATTGTTTATCACATACCTTCCTTTAGGAGAGCAGCTTTGAGTACTTCATACTAATAACACAAATCACAAGCTGCTGCTTATTGATTTCTGTTTAGAATGGGCTCCACTATGCATACAGACGTTCATTATGCAGTAATAATGTCCTGCTTACTCCCTCTTCAAAGAAAGAATAATTTATTAATAATAAAATAATGACACTGATAGCAAACGC